ATGGCTATATAGAAAGCCTTGCTGAGAATAAACTCTGTTTCAAAAAACATTAAAGTTCTAAAACACATTTGTGTGTTTCCTACTTTTAATTAAAAAAAAAAAAGTGCTCTGGATTGAAGTGCTTGCCCTTGCCCGGGAGGAAATCTTGTAGATGGCTTGAGTTGTGTTCACTTGGATTCTGACTGCTCATGTAATGTGTGTGAGTGTGTTCAACTTGAGCTGAACTCTTGTCAAGTTTGACCCACGGTGGGAAAAGCTCCAAAGGGCATGAAGGCTCTTGAGCTCTGAGAGGGCTCCTTCTTCTTCCCAAACTTGGCCAGGCTGTCAGGCTTCAAGTCTCTGTACGGCACAGAAACGTGTCCTTCTGTGCAGTGAAAGGTGAAACCGTGCAGTGCTGCGGGCCCAGGAGCTGCTGCAGCTGCTCTGCTGGCTGAACTCTGAGCACACTTGGAAAGCAGTGGTCCCTCTGGTATTTATGGCACCTTCGCACTTCATCTGCCTGTTTCCCTGGAGATGAAAAATAGTTTGTGTAAAGGGTTGAGGTTGCTTTTTGTTTCTTTGCTGTTTTGAAGGCTCTCTTCGCTAACCATAGCTTGGGAATTTTTATTTGTTTGCTTCTTTCTTATGCTCTTTCTTTTTTGAAGCAAGAAATTTTAAAGTAAACTGGATTTTCCCAGTATACCCTCCAGAGTTTCTTCTGAGGAAATAAAAGGCTTAATGACACCCTAAATTGCACCCCAAAGCAAGGTAGACCTGGGAGTATTCAACACTGGAAGAAAGCCAAACTCTGAACTAGGGTCACTTGCCTCAAATGCTCCCAGATTTTTCTGCCCAACCTAGAGACCTAGATTTAAAAGGTTGAAAATAAAATCTGCTTCATAATCTCCATAACTCTAGCATTTGTTTACTGATTTACTAATCAGTCAAGAGAATTTGGACTTGGTTGTCACTGAAGGGACAAGATACAAAAAAACCCCACAACAACACACACTAGCCCCAGAATATTAGAATTATTAGAATTGTCACTTGGCCTTGACTGAGGGCAATGTTTAGTTCATGTAATAATTTTAGCAGAGATGGGAGGGGGCGCTCACCTACCTCTGCAATAACGGAGGAGTTTTAAACACATTTTCCCCTCAGTGGTGAACCCTGGGCCAGTGGTCAGTGCTGTTACTCTACTGCCTGTGTGTAATACAGGCAGGGGCGAGCTGCTGTCTACCTATGAACAAACCAGATCTGAGAGGGAAGTGATGGATCCCAGTCTCAGAGGGGCCTCCATCTCTCCCCAAGAAAACTCAGGGGCAAACAAGTGCCCGCCTACCCCAGGCAGGCCAAACCTGGCATAAAGTGCATTTTATAAGGTGTGAATGAGTGCCAGGGATCTCTAGAGTCACTGCATCTGCTGCAGAGACTTATTAACCCTTCCTCTACTACACGCACTTGTAAAACGAAATTAAATCACGCTGAAAATAGCAATTTTCCCAGGAATCATTAATCACCTCATACAATAAATACTTCTTTGTAATTCAACAGCAATTCTGAAAGGCATTCTCTGGGAAAAGTCTGTGAAGAAGCAAGGGATCTTCTTGCAAATAACGTGGTCTCGGGCAAAGACGCAGCATCTTGCCTGTCTGCTCAAAAAATGCCTAGACTCTTGGTGGAAATTGAGTGTCAAGCTGCAAAACCTCACATGGCAGATTGTCATCAATTAAGGTAAATTCTTATATTTCTCCTTTGTAGTAGAGGAAGGGGATGAGAGCATTAATTAGCTACATACTAGAGGCAGTTGTATGGGGCTAAAAGGGGTAATGAAGAGAAAGGATGGAGATGTGTGTGTGTGTGTGTGTGTGTGTGTGTGTTTATATTCCAGTGCAAAATTGGAATTTTTACCCAAATTGTGTTGATTATTAAGGTATTGGTAAGTTTTACCAAGTCAAAATGCTCCCAAATAATCCAGATGATTGTGCCATTTCTTTAGTGTTTTGCCTGTTTCAGATTTGGTCTTTTAAAGGAGCTTGTTATAACAGCTTAGAAAATCCCACTTTGTGCTTCAAAATCGTGCATTGTCTGCCCTTTGCTAGGGCAACCATAAGAGTTCACCCAGAGGACAAATTTTCTATCTCATTAATTGTTGTTTTTTTTAAAGCAAACTCTATTGGCCCCTCAAACCCTTGACCTTTAAAGACAGTAGTATTTTGTGTGAGCTCTATACTTCTGCTGCCAAAATGACCCTTACACAGGCTCTCCTCTTCTTTCCTTTCTCTCTTTCTCTCTCCTTCCCTCTAACACACACTCATCTGCTTTAGTCACATAGCCAAGCTGTGCAGGACTCTGGAGAGATAAAAGTTTTGTCAACATCTGAAATCAACCTAAATCGGATAGGAGACACTTTAATGGTCACAGTTTGAATTAAGTACTTAAGAGTCTCCCCCCTGAAGAAAAATGGCACTTTGCAGGCTCTCTTTCCTAGTTTTGCTGAAATCTACGATATACCCGGTGTTTTATTACAGCAGGAATTCAACTGTGACAGGCAGAGTAGAGTACTTAATACCCAGGATGGAGCTCATGGGAAGATTACCTAGATATATGGGGAGTGGGCCCTCTGCACAGCATCTCTGACTTTATATTCAGTTGTCACAGGGTGTCCACATCCTCCCCCACCTCTCAGCCCCTCCCCATGGGGTGGGTATCACCAAGCCTCCTCCTCTCTCTCTCCCTGCTTCCCTAAGCTACCAAACTGTGCTGTTCTCACCCACCACTGCCTTCCCTCCAGCAGTTTAACATGGAAACAGATCAACCATTCTTTAGAATGGAAAGAAAGAAAAAACTCAAAGAATCAATGTAGCAAACAGAGACCTGGGGCTTCCCATTTGAATGAGTGGATTCTGTGCAAGCAAAAAGCTGTTCGTGACACTCTCTGCATCCCTAGCCCAGGTGAGGTCCTCTATTGGAGCGCACAGGCTCACCCTGCTCAACCCCTGCCCCTCCAGTGGTTGCTCCTCTCTGTATTATTTTCGGACCCAAGACTAATGCTGCTTCTTCTCTCAAAGAGTATGGGCTGGAAAAAATAGGAGGAAGAAGAGAGACCTGTGTTCTAACTCTTTGATAGCACCTAGGAGGCTGCCGGGGCTGTTGTGAAATATTCTCATCTGAAATTTCTGTCTTGGAACTCTGTCAAGTCTTATTCTCAAGGCCCCAAACCTATGGAGTAACCCCTGCCCCCTTTCAGGTCAGCCCCAGTCTCTCTGGAATTGATTTCTGGGAGTAAAGGAGATCCCAGATTGAAAGAATATCTTAGGAAAAAGAGATCTGGAGGCCATTTTGGTCCCATCTTAGTTTACTGATGATGAGGAAACTGAGGCAGCTAAATGCTCCCCCTCCCATTTTTGTTTATGTTAATGAGTTATAGATTTGGTCCCACCTTGGATAGGGGTAAGTGCACAGGCATCTTTCCTTGGCAGAAGGCCAATGAGTCTGGGTTCACACTGGACATGAAGGGCCACAGGTGTGCTTCTCCAGGTTAGAAGGGTGCTGAGATAGGTGGGCTGACCTCTGAGCCCAGGAGGTGACAGATGTCAGGGTCAGGGTGACTGGGAGAGCAGTGGACACCCCACTGTCTACAATTCTCATAGTTCCAGACTGACTCATTCTGCTATGCTTGCCCTGGAATTTCCATGGGGGTTCCCTTGCCCCAGAGCTGCGCAAGGGGGTCTGCATTCTGGAGGTCTGGGAACTAAAAAGCCGACCAAGGACCCTGGTGGCAGCAGATAAAGGTATAAGGCCTGTTCCAGGGAGAAATTGAAATTGTAATCCTGGGGGGTCACGTGACTCATTAAATAATTAATGCCGATCGTCAAGAATGGATGGAGTCAGCAGGGCCTCACTAGGAATGACTCTCTCAGAAGTAAGACCCCCAACTTCCTATTTGATTTTTTAAAACACACACCGTCAGATTTATTTCTAAAGGCTTTTAACTCCTTCAGGAGGGTCGGAGAGAGCCCTTCACGGGGAGGACCCAGCTGGCGGGCCCATGCTGGGTCTGGGAGCTCTTTCTGCAGGGTTTCTGCGAGTCCTGGGAGTGCACCGCGGCCGGGGAAATGTGAGTTGGAGCTCGGGTTTTCTGCGGTCGTAGCCTGGCTTTGGTGATGAAGTGGGACGGAAGCGCAGACAGTTGGTAATGTTCTGATTCACACCGGGGAAGGCTGCAGAGATACCACAGGACAGGCGCGCGGCTTTGTTCAATTTTCCCGGTGTTCATAAATCACCCGCGCCGGGGCTAGCGAGCGAGGGAGCAAGCGAGCGCCAAAAACACCACCGAGAGAGGCCACAGCAGCGGCGGCGGCCATTGCGAGGGAGAGACCTGGGCAACATCTCTTTGTGACTCATTAGCCTGAACGATTTATGGGGAGCAGCAGTCATGAATATTTGACTTGGGGATAAGGAAATAGCAACAATAATAATAACCATAATAATTACAATACTCCTAAGCGTCCCCGGGTGGGGGTGGCTTGGCAGATGGTGGCATAGCCGGTCTTTCTGGGATGAAGTTGAGTGGCAACGTGCTGTATGGCTAAGCTCCACCTCACTCAGGGTCATGCCAGGAGCTCCAAGGCCACAGGGGCACTGCCTTTGGAGACACAGAGGGCGAGTTTGAACAAGAGAAAGGGGCCCAGCATGGGTTCTGAGTCCCCAGTGCCTGGTGGAGGGTGGGGGCTGCGGGTTGGGCGGTGGTGGCTGAGGGCAGCCAGCTTCAGGTGTGCGGCCACTTGTTCAGTGTGCTAGGGGGCTGGGAAGCCTGGGTGGGGGTCAGGGGACCTGTCAGGTATTTGGTAGCTGCTCCTGGTACTATCAGCAGGATTGCATGGCTGCCAGACAGCCATTGAGGGCTGGTTTGGGGCAGGCCAGAGTGTGGGAGGCTATTCGGGTTTGGGTGAAGGGGTAGTGGGGCAGGGACAGGGCTGTGGAAGCAATCCACTTGGCAGAGTGCAGCCCAGCGGAGAAGTTCTCCAAGCCAGAGCTCACTGACTAGGACGATTCTCGCCTCTTCCCCAGCGTCTTCCCCAGACCCCTCAAGTTGGCTGACCTTTTGCTAGCTAGAGAGCAAGAGAGGGGTTGCAGATATCTTGAGGGACACGGTGGTAGCAGAATTTGGGCATCTAGGAGCTTGTCCCCACTGTGCAAGGTGAGGCTGGATAGGGCCCCTTGATTGGGTATTGTCCCAGCCCACATCCTTCCCAGTTTCCCCCTATTTCCAGCAGCCATAGCTGGCCTGCTGTGAGGGACTGGGCAGCCCACTGGGGCAGAGAAGTGACCCGCCCAGGGCTTGAATGAACCAAAATACAAAACCTCTCAAGGCTGCCCGTGGCCTATGGGCTGAGCTGGAGTTTGATTTCGCGCCAAACAGAAATGAACACTATTAGCGAGGTTTCGGGAGAGTCTGTGATTGAACGCTCCCAGACAAGGCTTCCCTTTGTTAGCAAAAGAAAATAAAGCGCGCATTCACATTCCCCAAGTTGAGGTGCGTGAGGAGCTCTCGGAGCAGAGCAGGCTCCCGCGGCAAAGCCCCTTCCACCTTCCCATCTCGCTCCGCCTCGTCCATTTTCTTCCCCCTTCCCCCTGCCCGCCCCCTATATAAAGAAAGAAAAGGAAGAGTGTGGGTGCGGAGATGGAGTATGTATTTATTTTACAAAAATAAATCACCATCTTCAGGCCATTTGTAGACGGGAACCTTTCGAGCAATGAGTGTGCCGCATGGACGAATGCCCTGGCGACTCCTCCGTGTCCGCGTCACCCCGGGGGCCACCCTGGCGCCCGGAACGGCCGCGCTTCCAACTCCGGTCCTCCGACTCCCTTCCTTCGCAGCCACCGTTCACCCTCTGCTGTTTATTTATCCGCAGAGCGCCCGGACACCGGAAAAGGCGACTCCCTGAGCGCTCCGGAGTTGGAGACAATTCGGGGTTCAGTCTTAAATATCTTTGGAGGTAAGCGCTGCGCCCACACTCGTCACCGCTTGGGGCTTTGCACTGGGCCTCTGGCGGGAGTTTGCTCTCCCAGGCAGCTGCAGCCCTGGGAAAGAGGCTCTGGTCAATATTTAACTTCGGAAGAGTTTTGGAGCTGGGTTATTTTCAGCTGCAAGTTCCGCGAATGCAAGGCTTCAGGCAGACAAAGAGCCCGCAAAAGCCGGCGTTCTGCTGAAAGCGCGGTGGGTCGCAGAGACCAAAGATGTATGTGCTTGGGGGGCGGGGGTGTGAGAAGGATGTATTTGTTTCTTCCAGCAAGTTCCAAACAAATCGCTACATGGAACAGCAGGGCAAAAGCCAGTAGAGGCCACGGAGGCGGTGGCCGCTGCGTGGGCCGCTCTACTTGTCCACTGTTGGCGGCGCCTGCGGAGACTGTGAGTTCGGAAATTGTGGTTAATCCAGCTCTGCATGGAGGAAACTGGGCTCACCGCCTCGCAGTGTCTCTGGTCCTTTTGCTTTTCCTTGGCGAGAGGGAAGTTGCTTTATTTCCAAAGTATAGACTGTCGCAGGTTCCTTTAGCCAGGCTGACCCGCTGTTCTTCCTACAGGAAAAGCACAGGTTTTCTATCTCAGCGTTTTATTTTCCTCTTTGAAACAAGGGAAAACTCTTTAAAATTCTTTTCCAGTTCTGGCTTAATTTGTTCTCTTAGTTTGGGATGCAGGGAGGTAATTACTGTGGTTTATTACCTTGTAAAAGATCCATAAATTTCGTGCCTATTTGGGGGAGGGGCTGCTGGAATAGCTTCCCTAAGCTTGGTATGAAGGAATGGGTTTGCTTTGTTCTTTGAGGAATTACTTGTTTTAAAAAGTTTTCTGAGATTTTGTTTTCTATTCCCTAGGCCTCAGTCTTCCCTAAAATTTTCTCTCCAAATAGAGACTAGGTTGCTAATTTATTGCAACATGCTGTTGGAGATGCTCTATGGCTGATATGGTGTTTTAGATACAATTCTTATTTTATTAGCTAGGAAGTAAACAGAGCAATAGTAAAGTTGGGTTACTTTCTCAGCTACTGTATGTCTATTTAGATCAAGTATAGACAGAGCATTTCAGGAATTTGCCACTCAGTGTGAACATTTGATTTGCATCTCTGCACACAACACTATCATTGCGTGTATAAACAGTTGCAGGAGTTTGAGACCATGTGTATAAAGTGATATACACATTCGTGTGTGTCCAGAGAACTCGGAGCCCATTTGTAGTGCAGTTGCACCCACAGGAACTATCTCATGTTAAATAATGATCTATAACCTCCACCAAAGAAAAGTGGGCTAAGAGGGCCTAACCTGACGCTGAGTAGAAAAACCACTAGAGTTAACTAAGGGGAGAAACATGTTAAGTGTATTTTTGACAGAGAAATCAGATTGCAGTGTTTGAATACAGATATATCTAATCTGCCAACAGCCTTGCAAATATTGACTAAAGCTCTGCATCCTGAGTCACCTGCTCCTTCCTAGACAACTTTCTGCCTATTTTGGCTCTGGTGGCCTGGATCCAGGGCATGTGTCCCCAGCCCAGGCTGGCCAGGTTAGGGGCTGAGAGAGTGAATGGAGCGGTACTGGCAGCTGGACCTCCTAGCCTGTGCCTAGATACTTGAGCATCTTCGCTCTTGGTCTCTGGAATGGGAGTTTAAATGGCCCATAGCCTTGCTCCAGGAAAGCAGATTTCAGAGTGGGGAAGGAGGACTCTCAGCTGCGGGTTCTCTGGTGGCTTGCCCAGCCCAAGCTCTCTCTTGGGGAAGCTGTTTTCACCTCAAAAGTTAAATTTCTTGAGACTTCCTCAGATATGTTCCTTTATAACCCACAAAATCACTGTATCCTACCCCAGGTCAGTAATGTTAATTGTTAAACAGCAGTTGGAGCATTAACTGGGCTGTTAATAGCGGCTTGGAGGCTCCTGGCTGGAGCTGAGATGCCTCTGGGCCTTGCTGGTGTTAAGGCATTTCTCTGAAGCACCACCAAACACTTCTCCCATTGATTTATGGCCTTGGGAATTTCAGTTTGCTCCAGAGGGTTCTTCAAGTTCTGAAGGGGGCCCCTTCTCATCATTGAGTTGAAGCCCCCGCAAAAACTTTGGTTGGGAGAGTGGAGGTTACCCACAACTAGGCAATACTTGCAGGTTCTTTCTAGGCTGTCAGGAGAGCTCAGTGTAAAATATTTGGGTGTGATGGGTAAGAAGAGCAGAGGACAGTGTGTTTCTGGTCTGAGTCCTTGGAGAGTGCTTTGTGGAAACCAGCTTTTGGTCCTGTCCACCACCCCCAAACCTGAGAGGGCAGGTTTTCATGTTAGATGCATACTTTCCAGCTTGTGGCTTAGGTCAGAGCTGGGAAAGGTGACATAGAGGTTCTCTCCTAGCTATACTACAGGCTGAACCTCATTGGAATACTGCCACTGCCACCAGCTTAGGGCAGGCTCCCTTCCAGGGGGTGTGAGGTCTCCTCCTTTTATTTGGATACCCTCAAGAGCAGGCCCCCTTCCTGAGGCCCTTACAGTCTCACTAGGCCTCTCTGTTCCCCTGCAGGCCAGGAGGGGAGGGGCGGGAAGAATCATGCACAGCCTCCTGCAGCTGCTACAAGTTTGTCCTCATGCTTAGAGAGGCCTAGCTAACCGAAGACCCGCTCTCCAGGAACAAAAGAATATCACATGGGGATCTCTCCACCTCAGAGCATTCCCAAGTTCAGAAACTAAGATCCAAAAAGAGGAAGTTTTTAGCTAGCTCCTGAGAGGGTGAAATGTTAAAATCAGTGGAGACTGTCACCAAGCAGAAGGCAGGACTGTGTGTGTGTGTGTGTGTGTGTGTGTGTGTGTGTGTGTGTGTGTGTGGTCTTATTTATTTCAGCCAGGTTACTCCTGAGAAGAGTTGGTCCAGTTCATTTTCTGCTGGTGGACACAGAGTTGTCTTAGGGGAGGGTGAACAGAAAGGATCCCAGATTACCTTGCAGTAGGTTAGTTAATTCAAGGGATGCTAGGAATTTTTTTTTCTCTTCTTGCAAAGACAATGAGATCCTTTCCCCTTACGTTTTTCATCATTAGAAGCCTATAATTTCATGTATCATTCCGCTATGCACTGAGGAAAAGTATAAGTTCAGGTTTGGCCCGGGCACTGGGTCCTTCCAGATTCTATAAAACTCTGACCCACCCACCACTCTAGAGCTAAGTACCTATTTCCTACGGGGCTCCCATCCAAAAGAACAAAAGCAACTGGACTTTAGCCTTTTGTCAGGTAATTATGGGCCTTTTGCATTTCTACAGTGGCTGTGGTGTAAGGCGTGGGTGTTAGCACATTCCATACAATGGCAGGCCATGAGAGAGTCAACTGACTACTAGGCCAGCCATTACTGGGTTTTCTTCTGGAAACAGGGCCTGGGCCTTGACTTTTGATGTACTGGCCAGAGAGGCGAGAGTGCTTGGGTGTGCTGGGTTCGGCAGGTCTGTGAGTGGAAAACTGTAAGGAAAGTTACGTGGTCTCTAAGAATGGGGACAGTATTGCTGTTTTCTTATGTTTGTATCAAGTGCAAAGAAATATAAGAGAGATAACTGGCCTTGTGTGGCACATGTTGGGGGGGGGGCAGATGCCCCCAGCAACTAACTGCCCTAGACAAAACTCTTCCCTACTGCGGGTCACGGTCCCCCTCCTCCCCTCCCCCAAAGCTAAATGTGCTGCTTGGAAACCTAGTTCCTTCAGTGATTCCCTATTTCAAATAAAAGGATTTAAGTTGACGTATGACCACGTGAGCACATAATACAGCACATTATTGTGGCATTTGGAGCTGAGACCCGGGCGGCTTCGCCTGTGATTACGTTTTCTAGATTCTCTACATAGAGGCTCCCCCCCCCCCCCCACGCACCCACCTCCTCCTCTCCTTCCCCTTCTCCGGAGAGTGCTCTCCTAGCGGGTTGCAGTTTTCAGCACTCATGGAGCGGCTCTGGGCCAGCTAGCCGATGGGACTCGAGGCCACGCCAGGAGGATGGAATTTATTTTAAGGTATTTCCGTTGATTGTTCATATCTAGAGTGAGTTATGGCTGTGAGAGACAAAGGTCAGGCGAGGAGACCCTGGTTCAGGGACAGGACCCTCAGCCCATCTCTTCCTTTGTTTCTCCTTTAGAACCGAAACCATTTGAAAGATCCCCAGTAGCGCCTCAGACTGAGTTTAATTCCCTGAAAAGTGTCCAGGGGTGTAAAGGAAGGGGCACTTGGGTGCTAGTTGGTGGGCCTGGTAGCTTCCAGTGCTAGTGTGGCTTTGTCCACTACAGCGGGGCTTGAGACCCGGAGCGGAGCCCCAGGCGGAGGGAGGGTCCCGAAGTGCCCACGCAGGTTAAGGTGGCCAGCGCTGCTCTCCCAGGCGACACTGCCTGGAGGGGGTGGACGCTGAGTGAAGGAGAAAGAGAATCGCTGCTCCCCCCATTGCTGCTGTTTGCCGGTGAGGGATGGTGGGCTAGGGCTGACCAGGGCAGCAGGAGCAGCTGGGAGAAGGAAATCAATGAGTGTGCAGATGCGCTGCCATTTTATTGATGATGCTTCAGGCCACTTTGTTCAGTGCTGGGTTGCAGAATGCGATTTCTCACACACGGGATGGAAGGAGCTGGACCCCAGGACACGCCTTTGTTTCTCCGCACACCCTCTGCCCGGTAGGGGTGGAGAAGGACAGCTCGGATTTAGGAGAGGCTTGGGGTGGCCAGCGTGCTGGGTGCCCAAGAGCTCTGTTATTCGAATGTTGGGGAGACAGAGGGAAGAGGGAGCCTGAGCTGGGTTTGGGCTTGGTAATGAGGGTGGCCCGGCCACCCGCCGCGGGCCTGGAGAGTGGGAGGACTGGCCGGGGCACTGTGGGCTGGAGGGAGTCCGGAGGCAGAGTCCGCAGGAAGCAGAGGCAGACTTTTCTCCGGCCTCCAAGCCCCAGAAATGGTGCTGCAGCCAGAATGGAGGCAGATGAGAGCGAAACTGTGTGCTTCCAAATTACTGGGAAA